CACCTCCTTACAGGCACAACACAGCACGTGAGCACCTGGAAACCCAGACCTTTCACCTTCACCTCGGCACCCCACAGCGGAACACGTGAAAGTTTCCATTGCTGGCATCACTGCTCCAGGGCAGCCCAAGACAGCGCAGCCTCCCTCGCTAATACACAGGGCCAGCTGAAAACTTTCATCACTAAGCCAGGAGCCACTCTACCCTGGCAGGACTGGCCAGGGCTTCCTACTTCTCCACGGATGGATCTCCAAGAATGGTCCTGATGCAGTGACTGCTCTTGGGCAAAACGCCTGTTAGAATCAGCTGAAGCCAAAGACATTGGAGGGAACAAATTTATCTGGCGGATGAAAAGACCAGAAAGGTGAGAGGCTGGACATGGCACCTTTTCCCTACACGCTCTCGGCTGGTCAGAGGAGAATGTTCTTGACACATGCTTTCCACACAGGCAGCCTGGGGTCACCTCCTGTCCCAAAATGGGGCCACTTCTGTCATCCCAGTTTGCTCTAAGATCCATTAAAACCTGTTAAGAACTGAAGCTCAAGAATGAAGGGGAATGGAGCAGGAAAATAAAAGGAAATTTCACAGGAAATGCAGAACGATATCTTCCCTATTTTAACGGTAATGTGGACACCAACATTAAAGCAGGAATGGGAGATGATGCAGGAGAGGCTTTAAACTCCCTGTACAAATAGAAATACAAAAGCTCCTTTGGCCACAGTGCTAACAGCAGAACCCTGTAAATATTTCATTATTCTCTACGGCAATTGTTTGACCCCTTTGATCCCCACGCCACCAGAGGCAATTGACAGAAAACTGTTGGGGAATCACTTCACTGAAAAATTTAACAGTCAGGTAGGGTGTGAAAGCTAAACGGCTCTGAAAACGTTCAGGTCTCACATGGCAGGATCGCTTACAAATTAATATTGCATAGCAAATGCCCGGAAAAAGCTCTTCTTGAAGATGCCAGCGCTGAGCACAGGAGGAATGAGGCGATGAGAACCGGTGGCTGTCTGTGCCGCAGTCCCTTACAGAGCCGGGGAGCCAGGTGCCAAGCGGCTGCTGCACCGTGGGCACTGCAGCCACAGCACCGCTGCCCCGGGAATGCCACAAAACTGGCACTGCGGTCCTGCTGCCACCGCACCGCTGTCCCGGTCACTGTGCTGCTGTTGCTACTGTTGTCACATTACTAAACTGTGTCCTGCTGTCAGGCTGCCACCTCACCGCCACCCCAGCTGCTGAGGGGTCACCACTCCTCTTCTGTTGCTGAAGTGTGATCTGTAGCCACACTAGAGACACTACAGGACTCTCATGCTCTTCTGCTCTGCCGGGGTAATAAGCAGGCTCCCTTATGCTTCACAAAACACTTATGCCACTTGGCCTCTCCAACACTATTCTATCAGGCCAAAATCACATGAAACATCTTCCTCATGCACCCTTTTTTTGCCATTTTCCCACTTTGCTGCATTATCATACACACACCCCTTGCCAACTACACCCATGAGTCACAGCACTGCTCTCACACTGCACTGAGCCTCTGCCACTGCAGGACCACTTTCAAACACTGCTGTCCCACTGTCCCACATAAAATCAGCCCATACTCACACTGCACTGAGACCAGGTAAGTCTGTGGCGTTGTCCTCTTGCTAACTCAGCTGTGCTTCCAAAACTGTGGCATGGTGGCAATACTTCATTTGCTGCCCTCTGCTACAGCGGGATGGTGCTGTCAAATCAGCGCAGCCCTTTGCAAATATCACACCAGAAGTGATCACTGCTGTACAGAATGGCTCTTGTCTGGAATATTGTATTACTACTGCTAAACTCTTCTGTCAGGCTACAGCACTCCACGATTATCACACCCGTGCACTGCCAAACTCCTACCACACGGCACCAGTATCACATCTCTGCTCTGCCCCAGGACTGCGTTAGCACTGCATTGTCAGGGCCGTGTTCTCCAGACGCTGGGAGCTGCACGCACTGCATCCCAGCCCAGAGAAGTCCCCAGCAGAGTGCTCCTCTGCAACTGCTGCGCCGAGCCGGTGTGCAAACGTGTCATTAGGCTAAGATGACATCCTGGCTTATACTTAATGCATCATTACACTACCCTACTTTTGTTAATTCATGTACCACTCAATTACAAAATGGTAAAATATCCTAAAAGAGTATTACCGCTTAATGGTATTAGAACATCACTGCACCAATATAGCTTAAGCCTAATTAATAAAAAATATCACTGCATCCTGTATCCTGGCAGTATCTTAGCATTCTCCTGGAGTACACACCCACAGTGCACTATATTGCTGTGCTGGTTATATAAACACGGCGCTTCTTCCTTCACTCTGTCTTTTTTCTGCACAGCTACAAATCTGTCTCCCTCAGACACAAACCTCTAGTCCTGAACTGCTCCTTTTTGCTGTTACTGCAATAATGAAACTCTCTCCATGGAGTCATCCCTGCAATCTTTTCTGTGTATCTGATTGTACTGTAGTGTCTGCATCTGCGACCACATCACTGCACCACCATGGAACAGGGTGATGATGTTCCACATCTGTAGAGCTGGAACAAGATATCCTGGTGCTGCTGGACCACAGTGCTCTGTGCTGCGATATGCATCACTGTGCTCCTCTCCTGTGTACGGCAAAATTACTGTTTGAACTGTTTCACAGAGGGCTGTGTGGGCTAGAAAGAAGTTTTCATACTAAATGAATTATCTGCTGAGCTGCTGCTGTCTTCTGAGCACAATGTGGAGCAGACTGGTGTTACAGCACCTGCAGCCTCAGACTGCAACCCTGGACATGTCTGCACCTAGGACCCTGCCACAGCCCAGGCTGCAGCCAGGGCTCTTGCAGGGGTAAGCCTTGCCTGTTTCAAACCTTCACACACATTTTTACACAATGCTGGGCATTTATTTCTTCATTCTCAGAAACAAAATTTGTATAATTCTGTGCCATGACGGAATTTCCATACATCTTACCCCTGGGCCTTTATTCATCCCAGGATTTTGATATCACTACCAAAAAAAAAAAAAAAAAAGAAAGAAAAAAAGAAAAAAAAAGACCTTCATGTATCTCATGTAACCAGCTCTTTGTGTATCCTAAATTCTAAAAAATTCTAGCTCCCCATCTTGCTCCTGTAGAGGGGGATCTACTACACCCCAGTCCTAAAAGTCAGTTCTAAAATCTCCACTAAATTTTCATTCTGTCACAGTTCCTTCAAAGAAAGTGAGAGATGAATACAGAGAGAAAAGGGAATAAATAAAAGTACACTCCAAAAGAAAGATGCTGGTGTGTGCATGTAAGCACTGGTGCAATGTACTCAGTGAAAAAGTGAAAATTAGAATTATATCTCTCTCATTTCACTGAAGGGCATTGTTGAACACCACTGGTAAATTTTGCTACATTTACAGCTTTCAGAAATGTCTTTTGACACTGGAATGTGAACAGCAGAACAGGTAAAATAAAGATACTATTCAGATAAGGACTAAGCTCAAAACCAGAGAGGTTTCCATGAGTGGGAGACCTGGCATGAATTTGTTTATATTTCTGATGCTTTGGAGACATACAGCTCCATAGATTTAAAATCTTTTCTTGGATACATCTTCACTTTGCTCAGAACTACAGGGTAAGTCAGAGCCAAGACCACGCATTTCAAAACCTAGTGCTGGAATATGGCTTTTTGTAACCTGGGAGCATCAATCTGCTCACCAGGCTCTTCCTTATTGTCAGAACAAAATTTTAATCCAGACTTCAGATGCACCATTGGCTCAGGGAGGGTAATACTTGTTTTAAGTTAAACACAACTGTAAAATTCCTAAACAGCAGCCTGTCAGTGAGGATGGAAAAGTGTTGTGCTTTGGAAAGAACAGATGTGCTTTGATTTTTATCTGGAGAAGTCAAGATGAACAGAAGCAGACAACACTCCCATATTAAACATACGGCTGTATCACCTCCTTCCATCGAATTACAAAAATTTTTATAATTCTTTCCATAATTTCAGTCTGAATGGGCTCCCTGCAAAGCCTCCCAAACACGCATTAAAAAGGGGGGGGGAAAAAGAGAAAGACAAGAAAAAAATAAAAACTCAACGATAACAAACTCCAGAAATCATAACTCTGGTTTAATCGATCATTTCCAGGGCTGGATGGAACTTAGCCACCCAGGCTACTGGCTTATACCTATAATTGTGCTTCTGGAAGATTGCAGTTACATTAATCTTCCCAGAGATTACATTTTCTAGTAACATCCCTAGATGTCTCTAAAAGAAATTTCAAGCTAGTCTCCCTCTGCCTTTTCATTTTTAGAGGGTAACCTCTAAAAATGTTGGGTAATTTCACTACCAAAAGCAGCTAAAAGCGACAGCTTTGTACCAAAAGAGCTTGCAAACACCAAAAGCATCTGTTCCGCTCTAACATAGTGACTGGGAAGGCTTCGGAATTGGGTCAGGATTTTTTTTTTGTCGTTCTCTCCACTACCTTCTCCTGACAGCTTCTGCCATCAGAAATGATTCATATGCTGATTGTACAGAAATGTACCATAAGGAGATGTAAACAAATACAGCAAAGCAAGGCGGGGAGCCAGAGAGATGGAATCTAATAAGTAAATAGCTTTTAAAAATCCGCTTCTCTGACTCTCATCCTCAGCAGGCAGAGCCACAACTTCCCCCGGTGACAGGGAAAGCACCGGCACTTCCCCCGTCAGCACCACCGAGAGCGCCCTCCGCAGCGCCCGGCGGGCACCGGGGGCTCTGACCCGCGCCCCGTCCCCGGCGCGGAGCCCTCCTCGGGGCCGACCCCGCAGCGCCCCCGGCCGTGCCGCAGCGCCGGGAGAAGTTCGGCAGGGGCGGCCAGGAAGCAGTGCATTTACAGCTGCGGGCTGTGCCCGGGGGCGCGGGGGGCTCCGCAGCCGGAGCCGAAGGTCCGTGAGCCGCAGGAGGAGGGGGCGCGGAGGGAAAGCGGGTGGGAAGAGAGGGAGGGGTGGGTGCCGAGGGGCGCTTTGCCCCTTACCTGGCCAAAGACCGAGCTGAGCATGGGGTGCAGCTGCTGGATGAGGGGATCCGCTTCCACTGACCGATCGCTGCCGCTGGACTTGGTGGAGCACTTGCTGCTGGATTTGGACAGAGGTGAAGCGCCTTCCGAGAGCTTCAGGGACTCTCTGCTGGACCTCTGCCTGTGACTGAAGAAAAAGTCCTCCTCTGCCTCCTCCCCATCCCTGTCTGAGAGCTGATGCTGGTCCTGGGGGTGACCGTGGCTGGCGTGCGGCGGGAGGTGGTGATGCTGCCTGGATGTCCTCCCCGGTTCCTTGCCGCTGCCTCTCCTTGGACCTCCTTCCGCCGGCTCGGGCTGACTCTCCCCCCGTCCATGTGACAGCTTCCCCGCGCCCCTCGCTCCGTCCTCCCGGGCGCCTGGGTGGCAGAGCGGCCTGCGGGCACTGGGCTCCCCGGGGAGCTGCTCCTGGCTCAGCTCCCTCCCCATCTGCCCGCCTTGTCCTTTGCCGTCCCGGACGCGGCTGCCGCGGGGCTGGGGCTGGCCGCCCGCCGCCCGCCGGCTCCCCGCCGCCTTCAGCAGCGAAGTGCGGGACTCGCTCTTCGCCATGGAGGAGCCGCTCATCGCGGGGCCGCTAGAGCCGCATCCCCGGCCGGGCGGAGCGCTGCCGCTGCGGGCAGGGCTGCGGCGCGCCGCTCACGGCATGTCCTGCGGAGACCCGCTTAAATCCCGCACCGCGGCCCATGTGACAGCGCAGACAAAGGCCGCGGCAGGGGCGCTCCGGCGGGGGCTGGCGGGCACCGTCTCCCCCTCCGGGGCTCTGCCCCCCCACCCTCCGCGCTGCCGCCTCTCCAGGTGAGCCGGGGCCTCCCCCCGCCGGGGCCGGCTCGGGCCGGGGCGCGCCGCAGGAGAAGCGGCGCCGCCGAGGGGTGCGGGCGGCGGCGNCGCCGGGCCGCAGCCCCCCGGCGCGGCGGCGGGCGGGAGTCGTGGGACCATCGCCCCCGGCAGCGCGGACGGCGAGGCTGGCGGCGTCCCGGGGGCGACGGTGGCGGAGGCCTGGCTCCCGAGGCTCCCTCAGCTCCCAGGGAAGGAGCTGAGTGCCTGGGAGGGCAGAGCCGGGAAGGTGAGCACCCCTGCCCCGCGGGGTGACCCACCTGCCCACACGTGTGCCCCTCGGACAGTTCCTTCGCTCCGCAACCAGGACCCAGCACGGTTTGCGGGTCGTGGCCCACCTGAGGGCACCAGCTGTGTGCTCAGCCTGCCGACACGGGGCCGCGGTGTGCACTGCCCCATAAGTCCGCACCTATAGGTCCGATCACTATAACGGAGAGGATCCAAAGTCTTGATCCAGATTTCACAAAGTTCAGGAGAGGAGGCTGGGCTGCTCTGTCCCTGACATAGCTCACAGGAGAAGTTTTAATGCAGCTTTTGAAATGGACATAAAAGCTTTGCTAGGGGACATCATGCAAGAATATACAAATGAAGGAGTTTGTACCTAAAAAGCCGATTACTTAACATCTTTGTAATCAAACACAGGTAATTAAGTGGCAACAGGTGGTTCAATAACGATGTTCTGTTTAAAAACAGAAAGAGATAATGGCATCAAATCAGACATGTTTCCAATGGGGAAAGGTCCCAGTTGCTTTTTGCTCATCCTCAGACAGTGATTGTGCCTCACTGCCAGACTTGGATACCTCAGCAGTTTATCTATCCAGAAAGATGAAGGTGTGATTATCGCATAATAAGCTTACTCATGCTCACTCTGCTCTTGCTGGCACATGCACAGCAGTTACTATGTGATGACAGTCTTCTCTGCAACAATACAAGTGCAACTTCTCTGCAGCCTGGGGTCCCACTGCAGCCTGTGCTGCTGTGCCCCCACCACTACAGATATGTGTGCTGGTCAAGGCAAAGCTGCCATGGAAAGAGGAAGATGCTGCAGCCCTGGTTCAGTGTTGCTTCATCTTGTCAGCTGTGCTATCAGCACCAGGTGCGCAGCAGCCATGTGCAATTCCTGCCCAAGGTGCCCTCCATCCATCCTATGGATGGCAGAGAGCAGAAGAGGCTGGCCCCTCTGCCCCTTTCCTGCTTAAGACACTTGGCAGCAGCCGTTGTGGTGGCTAAATGGGCTGTTGAAGGGGTTCATGGCAGGGATGTTTGTCAAGCACCAACTTTCCACTCAAACCTGCAGCATCATTTCAGCTCCTAATTATAGCCAAGGTACCTTTTGGGGTTTTGTTGTGGGCTGGTTTTTATTTCAGAACAGGCTGCTCCTGTTTGTTTTCAGCAGTGCAGAATCACTACTCATGGCTGGATGAACATGACTCCTGGCTTTCCCTACTGCACCTGCATTGCTGGAGCTGTGGCTGCTACAGGGGTCCTTCTGCCAGAAATCTCAGGGGTAGCAGGAGGCTGAAAGGAATATTTGTCAATAGCTCCATGTCTTGAGGAGTTAATTCCTTCAGGATGTAACGCTGCTTGTAGAGAAGCTGCTGTTTCTGGAGTTACAGCTGGTGCTGATGAGGCATTGTTGTCAGGAAGTCCCACAGATGAGATTCCTCTCTAGTTTGACTAACACTGCCCTCACCCTCCTTGGGGTCTTTTGAGCTATTCCTGAGGACTGTAGTGCCATTTCTGCCTACAGGTGGGTTGTGGCTCCTTGCCTCAATCAACTGAGCATTGCAGAATTTGGAGCATATGTCTCATTAGGAAGAAGGGACTCACTAGTGCAGGTGTGATTCATCACTTTGGAGAGCACGTCAGGGATCAGGGCATGAAACGGCCTGACTAACAGAGGCAATAACAGTGCAGACGGGGGCCATGCTACAGAACTGAGTAACAAAACAGCAGCAGCAGCTGAAAAAACTGTACTGGGACAGAGTGAGAGCACAAAAGCAGAAACCTGGCTGTCCACAACACCTGTATCTGGGTTTCAGCTGGGAACAAACCATAGCTGTTGAGAGAATCTGGAGTACATCCTCCCACAAATTCCTTTTGGAGGTTCTTCATGTATCTCTTTTTCTAGACAAATTAATCTTGGGATCCCAGTGGCTGCATAGCATCCACTGCATACTAAAGAGCTAGTTATTCTGGAGCCAAATGCCAGGGAACAACAGTGCCCCACTGCAGAGAGAAGCACATTAATTCCAGCACAGCTGAGCAGCGAGATGTGCAGGGACATCTCTCCAGAGAGAGCGTGGCTCCTCTTCCATCTGGCAGCACAAAAGAGGACAGGCCTGAATCCTCAAGACATGAAGATTATATTATGTAACATGCACGCTCGCTGCTTCCCGAGACAGAGCTAAGTGAAACTATCCGTGTGATTGAGTCCAAGGCCAAGCAGAGAGGAGCTGTGCTTCCCTCCCCAACCTGGGGGATTCTGGAGCAAGTGAGTAGCCTGAGGCTGGCGGGGGAAGGTGGATCCAATTCCGGCGTGCAATGACAAACAGCGCTGCCTGCAAGTGTAAAATCGTGGCTTTCTGTAAGACTGCTTATCAAAAAGCAAGCCCGTGAGCAAATGCATGAGCATTTTGGGGGAAGGGTTTGGTCAATTCTTTTTGGCTTCACTTGTGCATAGAGAAAATTTTTGACAAAAATGGGAATACTGTTAAAACAAACAAGGGCTGCATTGCCTGCCCTGAATTCCATTTCAGCTAAAGGCCTAGAAAAGGAGTTTAAGAGTAAAATGTGTGAGCACTGCCCATTAAAAAAAAGTCTCCAGCAAGCTGTATGTCTGTGATGTTTTTTTAGTATTTATTATTTCTCCCACCTGCATTTCAGTCTCCAGCAAGCTGTTGATGGGAAGGCACAAAATGCCTGTGATGTTTTTTTAGTATTTATTATTTCTCCCACCTGCATTTCCAAGAACATAATCATGTAGGGTAAGTATGATATCATACAAACAATTTACTAAAGCAAACTAAAGTCTAAGCCAGCCTGGACTGAGAATCAGGATACTAATCAGGAATCTGTCCTGTAACAGAAGATGAACTGCCTAGCCCCCATTTGAGGCCTTTCCCTTTCCCCTCCATTGCTTTCAGAGGATTTTAGAAACACATCATGTTTCAATAGTCATGTAGATGCCAAGTGTTGGTCTTCAGGCATATTGTATTTAGACAGGCATGTGTCTCCTCCAGAGGAAGCAAAAGCACTGACAGCTGGAGGTTCTGTTTGCTTGAAGACTCGGTTTTGCTCTTCAAGTTTTTCTTCACAGGAGAGGAATAATCCTGACAGTATTACAAAGGCATTATTGTTCCAGCTGTAATCCCTGTGCTCAAATCCATTCTTTAGGTTACTTGCATCCTGATTGCAAAGAGAGAACTTCCCTTTGTATTTGTCAGGACGGTGGCAGATAGATTGGATGTATTGTTTTCTATGGTCAAATAGCATTGAAGGTGGAAAGGCTGCAGTGTGATCCTGTAATAAACCTAAAGGAATGGGAAAGGAGGATGAAGGGCAATGGAACAAACAACAGTCCACAAGAGAAATGGATGAATGACAGGAAACACAATTGTAGAAAAGCCAGTAGACAGAGAGATAAGGGGCAGAAGAAGTGTGTAGGGACAAAGGTGAAGCTCCCTATACATTATAATGTAAATATACAGGACTGGCCAGATGACCAGGTTGTGCCCACAAAGCTTGCAGTGGGAAAAACAGGTAAGTGCAATCATGAGTGTGGAAAAAGGGAATTGTTTCCAAAGAGAAGCAACAAACCTTTTCACTGTGATGCTTTGTGAGGGCACAGATCTGGGCTTGCCTCTATAGCTTCATGTTGTTGGCACATGAGAGGCCAGTCAGAGAAGAAGACCACATTTCACACAGAGACAATGCCCCAACCCTTTCTTAGCTTGTAAAAATGAATAACATGAAAGAAGATGTAACAGAAATTCTGCTTTTCAATGGAACAGATACAACTGGGCTCCCTGAGCTGTCATGTGTGGCCTGACTCTAGCCAGATTCCTATGAAGGGATCTAACCTTCCCTACTCCAGGAATGTAACAAAAGTAAATAATTTTCCTGGAATTACTCCTCACCCTACCTCCTTCCTACACACCCTTTTTGAGTCTCAGTTCATACAGCTAGGAATGCAATTAATTAAGCTGATACAGCTGGCTCAGCTTTGCAGTTGTAGAGCTCACGGCTGGCAAATGTCACCTCTTTCATATCAGACATCTCTGTTGCCAAACTACACTCAACTTCACAGTCACATCTCTGTAGAAAGCACTGCTGTGCATGTGGAGGTGAGCCACAAGGCAGGCAGGAAGCACATTAAAGATTCCAGGAAAAAAAAACCCCAAACCTACAAAAATCACTGAAGAAAAACTGATGTGGTTTTAACAGTGGCAGTGGTCTCTCTCCATTTGAAACAGTACGGAGGCATAAAAGGATAATATGACAAATAGTAAATAACAAAGGGATGCTCAATTGGTCAGCTTGTCTTTGGTTTACACTGAGAGCAACAATTAACTTAGGAGGGAGAAAATTAAATCACTTCATAATTTTGCACTTTTCAGAAGACCTGAGAAAAGCTCTTTGGTAAGAGCAAAGCTTCTCACAAGCTCATGCAGATGTTTTACAAGCACAATAAAGTACATATGTGATGGAGTCATCTCTTTCTGAAATGTGATCTGGACTTCAGGATTATGGCTGCTTTTCAGAGAGACAGGTGGACTCTTCAGCTGCATTTAAAAGGATTCCTGATTATCAGGTAAAAAGCCTGCCTTTTTTTTTTTTCAACTAGGACCATTTAATCTTTGCCAGTTAAAAAAAAAAACCACACCACAAAAAAAGGTTATTTTTCAACTGCCTAAAGAATTAGTTCAGGGAGTGGAAAGAGAGCAGCACTGAAGGGTAGATAGTTGCAGTTTGGGTTGGAAGTAGTTTAGAGACAAAGCTGAATAAATGA